ACTAAAGTAGAGTTTTATTGATTAAATAGTAACTATAATTGAAGGCATGGACAAGTATGTCTTGATATAATAAATATTTTTATTTAAAATACATTTAAAATTCTTTAAATAGAAACATAATTGCACAATACATGTAAATTTAGATCTGTGGTTATGGATATTGCAAATCATAGGCTTTTTAAATCGCTAAGGAAGGTGGAAGAGAATACTGCTCAAGCACCCTTTTGTTGCTTACACTTCAATTTACCAACAAAAGAATTGACGTAGTAAATATTAAGAATAATTTTAATCACAAAAGGGTCTAATATTCCACCATATTTAAAGTCCACATCTTGTATTTCTTACAAACATACATCGACTATTGCTTCCAAACTTTTTAATTACAGAAAAAATCTACAGTGGCTTGGTATCGAACATGTTCTTTTTCACCCTACAAATACAGTCCTGCTGGGCACGTCATTACTGTGACGTAAATGTAGTTAATAATAAAGACTTTAAATCACTTATTTTAAAAGAGCCAACATTAAGAGAACCCGAACTTTTTTGGTGTCATGATTTCATAAATATTATGAATTTTGTTGAAGATTACACCAGGCGATGGTCCAAAACCTTGACAATTTGTCAGAATGGATTAAAAATATATATTAGATGGATACTGAAATCTCGCATTAAGCGACTGAGGAGCAATATGAAAACCATCTATCCTTCCGTCTTCAGTAATTCAGAAGTGAAAACAGAATTGGATAGATTAAACGATCAATAAGTAATGGTCCCAGCTGACAAAGCAGGTAACAACATTGTCTTTGTTTATAAGGCTCATTATTTTAATTGTATTTTAGACGTATTTACTCCTCACTAAAATATTTACAGCAGTGAAGGCGAAAACAGTATATTCGAGAAGTAGTGGTAATCAGATGTGGATACTTTAAAACACCAGGGGACTTATAAAAAAAAATTGAAATCACAAATTATTTTCCAATATCAATAACATTAAAACGAACGACTTTTAAACACTTTATACAATCATTTTCCTCTATAAATTAAAGTCCAGGATTTTTGACATCATAGACAGCTGATTTTTCAATAAAAAATGGAACATATCAATATACATACCTTGTCATTGGTCATTTGCAAAATTATTTTGTTAAAAACCATTCTGATTGTACACACAAGTACTCTGAAGTTGATATAAAAAAAGATGCATGAGTTTGTGATTGACAATATCTATGTAGTTTTTAAAAACGCTTGCTGTGGCCTTCAACTCGACATCTAGCTATATCGACGACGTACTATCAATTAACAATAGATACTTCCATTCATATGTCGATTCAATATATCCCAGTAGACATGAAATAAAAGACCCCACAGAGTCTTACACATCTGTTTCATACTTGGATATTTTACGAGAAAAAAATGACGTTAATGGAAACTTAACAACAAAACTTTATGATACATGTAAACTTGATGACTTTAACTTTTCTATCGTCAGCTTCCTTTACTTATGTTGCAATATACCCTTATCGCCTGCATATGGAGTTTATGTCTCTCAGTTGATTCGATACGCAAGAGCATGTTCTACGTACGATCAATTGTTTAATAACCTATTAAAAACAAGTTGGTGAAACAAGAGTATCAACAGTCTCGTTTGAAATCATCATTTCGTAAGTTCTATGGTTGACACAATGACCTTTTCGGCAAATACAATCTATCATCAGGTCAAATACTGCCTGGCGTGGGTTTTTCACACTAATTGTTAGGCCATTATTAACACGCTGAAATTTCTACGGATTTTTTCCGTTTACCCCATCATGACAAGGAGCACGCGGCGGCTGTCGACAGGGAATGCTTACTCCTCTATAGAACCTGATCCCGCCCTGGTGGTTTTTGAGGTTTTTGCTCTGCTCCCAATTTGTATTGTTGAAATTGACTATGAGCTTAAATACTGTTCGATATCTCTATATTTCATTAGAGGAACTTGGATTTAATTCTGCAAGTGGTAATCAAACTAATACTCATAGTTCTCTTTCTATTGAGGAAATTCTTCAAAACCATATGTCAGTTTTAAATATTTTCTATATTCCCAGTAATCACATCGACTTTGAATTACAATACCCATACTGGATTTTAAACTACATATCAAAAATCTTGTCAAAGATATATAGCGGGTTCCAGTAAATGTTCTTCCAAGCCTTTATCTTTACTACTAACTAAAATATTAACAGCAGTAAAGGAGAAAATTCAGAAGTATTGAACAGCAATATATTCGTATATATATTAGTAGTGTAAATCAGATATGGATACTTAAAAACTCCACGGAACCCTTAGAAAATATGAAATCACAAAATTTTACCAAAAACAGTAACATCAAACGCACGACTTCTCAACACTTTATTCCACCATTTCCTTCGATAAATTAAAGTCCAGGATTTTTGACATCATAGATAGTTGCTTTTTCAATAAAAATGGAACTCGTAAATATACTTACCTTGTAATTGTTCATTTCCAACTTTATTTTGTTAAAAACCATTCTGATTGTACACATAAGTACACAGTAGTTGATATATATCAAAAAGATGCTTGAGGTCGTGATTGACAATATCTATGTAGTTTTTGGAGATCAAGTCTTCCAACAATCTATTGGAATTCTCATGGGTACTATATGCGCCCTGTTATTAGCAAATATATTTTTGTATTCATAATTAATATGAAGCAGAATTTATTAAAAAAAAAAAAAAAAAAAAAAAACTTCTACATGAAAAGACATTCATATGTCGATTCGATATATCCCTTTGAACTCGAAATAAAAGATACCACAGAGTCTGACACATCTGTTTCATATTTGGATATTTTACTAGAAAAGACGTGAATGGTAACCTAACAACAAAATTTTATGATAAACTCCATGACTTCAACATTTTAATCGTGAACTTCCCTTATCTTTGAAGCAATATACCATTATCATCTGCATATTATGAAGTTTAAGTCTCCCAGCTGATTCGATACGCAAGAGCATGTTCTACGTATGAACAATTTCTAAAATGAGTCGAGCTATTGACAAATAAGTGGATGAAACAAGAATATCAACAGTCTCGTTTTAAGTCAATATTTCGCAAATTCTATGGTAGATACAATGACCTTGTCAAAAAATACAATCTATCATTTAATTGAATGTTGAATGACTTTTTTCATACTAATTGTTAGGCCATTATTTTTACACAGAATTGTCTACAGATTTTTTTGTTTGCCCGATCATGCCAAGGAGCAGTGGGCGGATGTGACCGGCCGGCAGCTAAGGGGATGTTTACTGCTCCAGGGCACGTGATCCCACCTCTGGTGGTCTTAGAGGTCCGTGTTTGCTCAGCTCAAACAAAATTTGTTTTGTTTCAAAGGACTTTTGAGCTTGATTACTTTTCGTTATCTTCATATTTCATTTCAGAACGGTAGCTATAGACAGGTGGCTAGATATAGGTCTATCATTTAAGGAGGCCAGGTTGGATAACTCATAACATTTTTGTTTTTGTTTTTATTTCATGCATCTCAACATGATTCAAGTCTTTTTTTAAGTCGAAGAAACTGTATTGCAAAAAGCTGACATTTGCAGACCATAAAAGTTAGATAATAAATATATTTTAAAAAAATCAAATTTCCTTTAATCTAGTCTTAGATACCAATGCTTATTAGTATGATATGAAATTAGAAGTGATCTGTGTTGTCTTCCAATCGCACAAGCTTTTTACACTCTGTGTTATGTAACAATTAAATTAATCAAATATGAAGATAACAAACAGTAATCAAGCTCAAAAGTCCATTGAAACAATTAAAATCGAGAGCAGAGGAAACACAGACCTCTAAAGGTATCAGAGGTGGGATCAGGTGTCCTGCAGGAGATAGCATCTCCTCCAGACCCGACACAGTGTGCTTCTTGCCATGATGGGGAAAACTGAAATACGGTATAAGTGTTAAAAAACGTGCAATTTTCTCCGAATGTCTGTATACTAATAGCTTTTATTCTAAAATACATTTGATGATCAGTTTGAATTAGAAAATGCATGGCTGGTGTTTTCATTCGCAGTTCCTGAAAATATGTTTCAGATTTGATAATTTTCCCCAAATAATATGATTAACTATAACGTTGAACTTCGGACTACCTTAAGACACTAAAAGATACCATCAGAATTACCTTGTACGATATGGTTGATGCCAGAGTTGTCAAACTTTGCCTCTGAGATTGAATACAGTTATAATCAATACTGATCTCTTGTACTGGAAAGAATTCTATATGCCTGAATGGAATATGTTATACAATTGTGTAGATATTAAGTTTATCTTGTTTATTTTCAACCTAGGGTACCTGCTACATTGCTCAAGGGGAAATTTAAAATAGATCGAACGCGAAGGAAGATTTAGTGAACAGAAATCACTGTTTTTTACTCACATTGGGAAAATACATGCAAGTTACATGTATGTTTTCGATTACTTTATTTTTTCCCTAATATAATATTAAGAATACTTTCATTTTTTTCAAATTGTGTCATCTACTGAAAAACAGAAATCTGTCATCTGCGGATCAAAGGGCAGATCACTCTAGACAACTCAATAAAACTAGGGCGGTATAGGAACTCTTCACTTCCTGTATCATATAGCACTATGACATTACAGGGTCTTTTTTAATTATTAACAAATAATTCTGGTATGTGCCGATCCAGGACTTCCTATTAGTAGAGGGACGCACTGTAAAAAATATTTTTGATACAAAAATATGATATGTGTCGCTGATTTTGAGGGGTTGGTAAGCTTTGTATCAGTTCTGCATCTTATTGTAAAAATTTTACAATAAGTATTAATTACAGAGTCTTTTCAAATTTTAAGGTATTCGAAACAAATATCCCCTCTCCATTTTTCCGTACTTGTGAACTGCATTGCTAGCAAGATGAACATTTCACTTCACAACATTTTATCAGAGTATTATTTGAGATAGATACGGTATATAAAATGTTATTTTTATTGCAAAGTTGAATTTACTGACATTTTTTTTTTTAAATTATAAAGGTAGTCAAGGTATCACGAATGTAAAGGAGCTACTAAAGGTGTCTGCCCTTGGGCAGGTTTTGGCGTCTGCTCACTGTCACGTGACACAAATCCGGTGTCCTCCCTACTGAGTAGAGAAGCTCGATTGTTGTCACTTTCCGTTTTACTCTGTGTTACTGATCCGGTTTCTTTATCACTTTGATTGGATATGTTTCCGTTTTCATCCGCTGGAGTTGTGTCTCCAGCGTTGTCTTCGGAAATTTCGCCATTTTCACTATAAACTTCACTGATGAATTTTTCGAATTTGCTATAAAGTTTATTTCTTTTTCCGTGAAACAAGTTGATTTTCCTCATTCTGCTTAACGCAAACATACGCCTTCTTGTGATAGCGTCCACCCACTTTTCAAAGTTTTCCTTACGTTGAACAATGGCAGCTCGTTTTTGTTCCAACATGTAGTCAAATGCTTTCTTTTCTTCGTCTGTTATAAATAAATCCGGGTCATATTCATCAAGGTCATTTTCCTCCAAGGCCAATGCTTCCTGTAAAACATCAGCTGGTACTTTGTCACTCAGTTTTGTATTATTTTCAGTAGGTTCTGTGTTGTTATTATCATTTGTTTCCACGGAATCTTGTTGTTCACTCTTCGTTGTGATATCATTTCCATTTTGCACGTCACTTCCTGCTGGGGCGTCATGTCCGGCTTTCTTAGATGAACTTTGTGTACTCATACTGGATTTCTCTTTCTTGAGTGAGATTTTAGAGTCCGTCAGTGTCCGCTCCTTCATCCTACTACTCTCCGTCGGCCTTAATAAGTCCGTCATGTTTGAACTAAGAATAGAACAAAGGAAAAGTCATTTAATAATAAATAGATTTTTTAAAAAGAAGAAGAAGCAGCTGTATTTCTTTCGCCTTTGCATTTTTCAGTTTATTTGGTGACAACACGTATGCACGCATACTTATCTAAGACCTTCAAGGCCGTTTAATATAGTTTGTTGGAAATATACGGGAACAAAAACGACAGTGATAGTTTATCAGAAGTTATTGTAATTATTTCTTCCTCAGCTTGACAGTTTCTGAAGCTGTTATACACTTTACATGTACAGCCATTGAACAAGAAAGATTTAAAGTATCAACTTACCTCCATCGTACAAATCTAATGCGTATTACAAGACATCCATCCATCAACTAAAGCTTACATCAGAAAGACTTTTAAAACCCAGAATTAATATCAAGTATTTTCAAATGATTGATATAAGAACCTGATCGATATTCAGTCGTCTTTCGCTGTGTAATGTTATTTATTAAACTCTAATAATGAAGTCTGGGAAATATGAGAAAATTTAAAATCTAACACTAATACAAAACAAGCCTTCCTAACAGAATAAATCTATTCCTTACATTTAAATCTTTATGTCAAGCCAAATAATGGTGTCTATGGAACTTGTATACCTTTATAAATAAGTTAAATGCATATATTAATGTCATTTCAGTGAATCATTAAAGGAAACCGACTATATATTAATCGTTTTATTCAGCAAATTATACCCTAATATCAAAAGTTACGAGTGAATCTAGTTTATAAAAAATATAGATTACAATTGGCTAAGCATTATTTGTATATTCTTAGCTTTTTCTGCATGACAATTTAATCAAATTTTGCAAATTTTCAGTCTTATAACACCCCTCAATAGAAAGACAGAAACTGTAAACTTCGAACTTAGAAGACTTGTATTTATGTTTGATTTACCACGGAATTACAGTGAAGAAAAATTGTTTTCTTTCTGAATGCACACACCTTACTTTTTCTATTTTTGTCACAATGATTTTTTTTTATCAAGATGGAAATATTTTTCGCTGAGAGATCTTAATTATGATGTAACTGAGAAGATTAACAATTAAGTCGGTTAATCTGGTGATACTGTTAATCCTATAATGACCCGGTTCACTGACACAGATCATTCTAAGTCCTCAATGGGACGAGCACCTGTTTAAAATGACCTCGTCTGCAAGTGTTATACAAAGACTATATCTGCACACTGCACTTCTTTTGCACTTAATCTTTTATAATCCATATTCTTTAACACAATGTTTTTCTTAAGTAAGTGTTAAAGAGCGATTCAAGAATTAGGGACAGGGAACACGGAAGGGAATGCTGACCGGGGGATTCTTATTTTTAACCAAGCTTGCCTACACTACTGCAAATTTCCCCAGTTACAGTGTCTAGATACATGTAAATAAATAGTCATCTTATCCATTTTCACAAAACTCCAGAAATCACAATTAAAAACAAACAAAATTAGGAGCATATTTTTCTCCATGTGTGTACATGCGTGTGCTAGCCTATTGATATCTCATCTTGCAGTTAAAAGGAAGACAAAATTGTCCAAATACACAGAAAGAATAATACTTTTGAATTTTATTATGCAGTAACATGCTTGAATTCTAGTCTCATCAACCGGTCAATTATAAAAGTATATTGTATATTTTACCACCAAAAAAAAAAAAAATAATAAAAAAAAAATAAAAAAAAAAATATTTTAGTATTAAAAAGTTGGTAAAACTATGCTTTAGTCATCCTGTGAGTTTATCTTGAAAATCTAAACCACAGTTGAAAATGTCCTTAACTACAAAAATAAAATTACCCGAGTATGTTACCCCTGCATTTGCATAATTTAAAACAAAGACTTGAGCGCATAAGAAAATGTGGTTGGAATAATTTGATCACCGACTTTCACAATTTCACTAATAATTGTATCGAAAAAGATAATGAAACCTATATTATATCAGTAATAAGAAAATTTTCAAATTAACCAAAATCTGTAGTAGATAGAGATAGCAATACGATTTTATTATGGTCAATATATATAGATTTCAGTCGAATCACTGTGCATCATTTTAAGAACTACCCTAGATTCCTATTCTGATTTAACGTTTGTGCATATTATATTTATCTTTGACTTGTTTGTGTGACATTCTCTAGCTGCAGAACAGTAGCTCTTCTCGAAAAAAAAAATGACAGCCCAGAGAGCTATACAGTGCGATCCATAGAAAAAAAATGCGCGCAAAAAGTTGTGCTAGGTTCTGGAGTTATTACTCTGAATTCTTAGACCTTTATTGACTACTGTCGTGATTGACATCAGCAGGAAGGGCATTGAAGCGAATTTTTCTTGCCATCCAAGATGGCAGCATAAGTAGGCGGAATTTCCGAAAGTCTCAATTTTAAGCCCAGGAGGGCTGAAAAAACATCGGTTATTGGGGATATTTTGTTGGGGAAATAGTAAAAGAATATGTTAGGAAAACACGACAAGTAATGTCTTAAGATAGTAGTTTAAATATACGGATAAATAAACCGAGAAACAGAGCATTTTTGAGCAATAAATATACATGTATTTCAATGTGTGGCACTGTAGCTCTCTGGTCGCCCATCCAAATGGGGTTTTGTTTCAGATCACCGACCTACAGATCTGCAGCTAGGCTTACTCATGCATTAATCATCTTTAAGACGTCTATGATAAACAGTAGGTGACAATTCATTTCCTCTGAAGAGTTAAAAGCCAGACTAAAAGCCATCCCGAAATACAGTGCAAGAGGTGAAATCACACTAATATCTTATATCAACGAAGAAATAATAAGGGTATATGAAATGATCTCGATCATATTCTATGCTATCGACAATTCATTCAGTAAGTAAATAAGAAGAAAAAAAAACATGATGATGCAAACATATATGATACATATTCTTAAATTTATAATCATTAATATTCTCAAAATTAACACATATACCGGTAATTAAGAGAGAACATGAAGTTATATCATACCTGTTTTCACCCTAGGCACATGTAATTTCCACTGTGTATATATTAACTACTGACCCAAAGACGAAAATAAAATCGGTTTATCATGCAAAATTTTAAGTACCCCTTTAAAAGTTTAAATCCCGTTCATATTACTCTCATTTCTTATTATAGATATGACTACCTCTACTAGACCTATAAAACCTTTACAGTAAACAGACAAACTCGTACAGTGTACATACTAGTACAGTGTACATACTAGTACAGTGTACATACTAGTACAGTGTACATACTAGTACAGTGTACATACTAGTACAGTGTACATACTAGTACAGTGTACATACTAGTACAGTGTACATACTAGTACAGTGTACATACTAGTACAGTGTACATACTAGTACAGATTCAAAATACTATTTAAAACAGGCACAGAGGTTATGTTTAATTGATTTGAAAATTCACTACGTTACAATGTATACTGCAATACAAATATACGATATTAATATTTTCTAATTGAAACGCCTTTTAAAAATCGTTTAATGTCTTCAATACATTGACTGTAAAAACGGTGTTTATTAACAGTCTACCGAGGTACACGTATATGTATTTTATCAAGTTAAGATTGATGCAATGCTTCAAATCGGCCGAAAAAATTTAATCATTTTAAAGAATTTCCACAAGAAAGAGTCCAAGGAAAATACTCATGAATCTTTAATATGACATATTTATTTCTAAGTACAATAGTATAAATAATTTTATTTTAAAGAATGTTTCCAAAAGCTACATAATCAAAATTAATTATAAATCATGGGTGTGAAACTCAGTGATAAAGGTTAGGAATGTACTATCATCAAACTAAAGAAGACAAATATAATATCTTTATACCCATAATTCATAGAGAAATGATATCTGTCAAAATGATGTAAACGCCTCTTGATCTTAATTTGTCACGTGATGATGCTGATGGATTCGGTAGATTATGCTGAACGGCCCAGTGATGGGAATATCACTATAAAGATATCATCGTGTCATTCAAAGCTGTAGCAAATTCAAAAACAAAATTTAATAGTACACCAAACTTTTCATTTTTTATTTATCACTATTTTAATATCTCGTAAGGATCTACTTCCATATCTCACGCACTTCCATGCTGGGGAGTGCATTGTAAAACCTTTTTATAAAATCATTACTTTATAAATGTCTTATGAAAATAAAAAAAAAAAAACAGACGTAGAATAAAGCATTTTTTTTAAATTTGAAATTAACCTTAATATATATTATATATAAGAAATTGTTCTATGAAACCAATAAAAATAACGTCTCATTTCCCCATGTGCACTTTGAATCACAACCATAAATACATGTAGACCAGCCGCTGCTACAGACAAAAATAAATATCGTCACATTTACTCCATTGATGTTTCATTTTTTTTTACTCATACATTTACCAGCATATATTTACAATGCATTTCAAGAGAACAAATAATAACATAGAACAAAAGTTTGCATTAAAAGTCACAAGTTCGCGTTTTTAATACCAGTAAATATGATGTGGAAAAAGTCAAGACAATTGACAATTTATTTATCTATTTTTTGGATTTTCAATATTGAGAAAAATTCACATACGTTCTAGAATACACACCTTCAATAAAAAAAAAATTGCTTGATTAAAGGGTTTTGGTTTTTATTGTCACCAATTTCCGGAAAAAAATATAATTGCCTGACGCCACGTGCGTCAGGCAGTATATACCCAGCAGGCACACAACGTTGTTTAAACGTTGAATATTAGTTGAAAATGGGTTTAGACGTTGATAAATCTAGTTTCAATATTGATTCAACGTTGACTTTTCAATGTTGAAAATGTAACGTTGATTCAACATTGAATTCAAATTGAGTTGAATTGCCAACATTGATTCAACGTCGGATCTTCGTCGAGCGGGAATCCTATTTTTCTCTGATAAATAATTCGCACTATAATAATGTCGGACTATAACATTGTCGGACCATAACGAGGTCGGACTTGACAAAGTCGCACCACCGTATATTATTAATAACTATTACAACTAACAAGAATGGTAAATATATGAATTTTAAAAATTCAGTGATTAATATGAATTCAGTACGAATTTGCCAAAGTACGAATTAAGAGCATGCGCTTTAGGACATCCGGAAAATATTCAAAAAGACAGGATAACAGTTACTGGTAAGTTTTGATAATTTTAAGATTTTATATATACAGCTGTTTTAAGATTTTAAAAGTATAACTCGATTTGTTATCTATCTTATTTGCTCGTGATTATGGATGTTTTCGAATTCCAACTGACGCCAATTTCAGTTCAATATTTTTTCAAAGAATGCATGAAGACCACATTGAACTGTTGAACTTGAAGACTATTCCATTGTATAGTTTAGTTAATTGATCTTCATAGTTTGAGAGTATTACATCTTGTGTATGTTAAGTGTTAGTATATATATAGCATAAACGGATCAAGATTCTGTTAGAAAAGGGGGAGGGGGTGGCCACTTGAACATGTTGAAAGGGGAAGTCTACCATCTCCACCGAAGGCTTTTGGGCAGTTTTCACGGCACACCGAGTCCCGTTTACATCCCATTCTCACGTCTGTAACATCTTAAGAAACCCTGAATTTTATTTTCAGATTCTTATGGTTCTGTCTTTGAATAGCTTTACTGGGGGGGGGGGGGGTTACAGTCAGGAATTCCCCGTCTGTTTTCCAGTATATCCCTCCACCCACCCCCTTTTTTATTTGATGAGTAAATCATTATTTTAAAAGTAGTTTCCTCTTTTAATGATTTTATTTTTTCATGTCTTGGATTTGAGTTTTACTTGTAAAAAATAGTTTTATGAAATATTGAACTGCTGCACAAGTTTGGGTTGAGAAATTCATGTGTACATGTAAGTCTTTTGCTTTGATGGAACACAAACTTTTAACAATTTTTTTCTTTACTTTCCTGTTACACTTTCAATTTACTTCATTTTATTTTGTGTTTTGTGAACAGCAGGCATGGCTTATAAAGAGATGAAAGAGATATCATGCAGAAATAGATTTAATCTCACGACCAAACAATGATATAGATGTACCTTGTAAATAAAGGACATTCCAGCACCTCACAGCCTCCAGCAAATTAAGCAGCTGATGAATGTTAACACATGGAAATCAAATGGTACAGTGCATTAACCATTCTCATTACACTTTAAAAATTTGCATTTTAAAGTTTTATTAATAAATATCATTTGCAATGCCAAGAAATTAACTAATTTTTGCATATATGTATTTACTTAATAATTCGTTTTTAATTATTATATTTGTCTTTGGATTGATTATTTAGAATTTGGAAAAAGCGCAAGATATTAATTGTTTTTTTTAAGTGTCCGTCAATTTTCACTGAAAGATAATTTTGGAATAAAAAGATTATGAGACTGAACATAATTTTAATGTATTTCATTATACAAATATTTATTATATCAAATTGTACATTATAGGGGTAATCAACTAAAACGCTGTACCAATCTGTCCACTCAGAAGACCAATATAATCCAGGAGAGAACACTAATCAGGAGATCAACAGCACCCCAGGAGTCCGACACCACCCAGGAAGACCAACACCACCCTCAGAACTCCAACACCAGGACTCTAACACCAAGATTTAATTAAAAATGTATTTTTTAAAAGAAATATTTATCGAATTTCGGATTTCCAACATTTTGGCATGGGCATCACTGAAGAGACATACAACTGTAATTTGTCGAAATGCGCATCTGGTGCATCAAAATGGTTACCGTATAAGATTTACATCTTATCTTGGAATGTTTTCATGTATTGGAATATTTCTTGACCACAAGTGAAAATAGAAAGCGTTTGTAAAATGTTTTGTACTGATTACATGTAATTTATAAAATGTATTTTTGTGAAATTTATTGTAACTGATCTATTGATAGGAAGTTAATTAAATGTTTACAATATAGATTTATATATGTTTTCCTTTATATAATTATGAAGGCCTCTTAGTTAATAAAGAAATAAAATTTTAAATAAGTAATCACCAATCCCCCCCCCCCCCCCCGAAAAAAAAAAAAAACGTTGAATTAACTTTTATTCAATGTCTAATCAACGTTGATTTTCAACATTGAATCAACGTTAAGATTTCAACGTTGAACTCAATTTTCAAAATCTTACATAAACTAAACGTTGAATCAACATATATAATCAACGTTGATTCAAAGTTTTTTTCAATGTTGTGTGCCTGCTGGGTAAGGATTAATATTTCAGGGATCCGAAACTAAGTGATCATTCTTAATGAACTAGATTTTCTGCAAGCTGATTTACATCGGAATTTGTTACCTGCATTTAAACAAATACAGTTTGCAGAAGAAAGAATCATATAACTGATGCAAAATAATGATGTGTTTAATTCCTTCAATTTTTTTGCATGCACATATTTATTCTTTGCGATTCTTTGTACGAACATGTCCGTGTAACATTTTTTCTGCGTTTCTAAATACTGGATCAGTCCATTTGCCTTCTACGAAAGGGGTGACACAATCATTTCGCGCCAAGTGTCACATGTAAATTATCTTCGCGCCTTTTTCTTGGGTTGTTCTATTGAATGGGTGTGATAACTTCTATGGAAATAAATAAGGTTTATTCCTTTAACATGATTCTTAAGCTCCAGATTTTTATTAACAGTAAATTTTATCTCATTTTTTTAAGAGAACACATTGTATATGGACAGGCAACACTAAAGCAATGGATTTGCTGATAATTCTTACTATTTATTCCATAAGTGGACTAGTCTAATCATAAACAAACTCCCTCCACCCAGTAAATGGGACATCCCTTCTTGATTCTGTTTTCCACCTAGCCTTTCTTTCAACATTACATTTATTAATAATGTACGTTACAAGGTAAGGTTTTTTAAAAAAAATCTTAAAAAGTCAACGAGTAGCATATTATTTCAAGCTTTGTTATGAACAAGGGTTTCCTTTTAATACAGTGACAAGAGTGGAGATCAGTACCCGTAAAGTAAAGAATCAGCAAAATGAAGAAGACATCATGATCTGTCCTGGTTTTCATTTCATAAAAAAGCAAGTTATTTTAATTATGAGAAAGGTCCTGAAATCGATTGAAAAGAAAAACTTACAATTTTAAAACTGTATATAAAGATGTATAAGCTCATTTATAATACATGTACTTGTATATGGTAAGACCATCATCGCGTGAGTTTTGTCCAGGTGGGGGGGGGGGGGGGGAGGTATTAGTGTCTTGTTTTGCGCTAGCTATAAAGTGTACAGGTTATTTACTTTGATTTCTAGAGTAGCATTGAAGCATTTTTGTCTCAAACACTTCAAGACAAGTTTCCCAGTTAAAACTGTTCATAATTTACTTCGTCGTCGAGAACGACGGAAAACAGACCAGTCTATAAATAGAGGCCGTCTCATCAATCTATCACTGACCATGAAGAAGTGCGCCATCTAGTAAGAGAGTACATGTAATATGAATTTCTTTAAAACCTAACTATTTTCCCAGAATTATCAGTGGCGGATCCAGGAATTTCATAACGGGAGGGCGCAGTAGACGGCAGGGTTTCTGGGGGCTGTATTGAAACCCCAGTGGGTCCAGAGCAAAGCTCTGATGGGGGTTCGGGGGCGAAGCTCCCGGAAGCTGACGAATTCTTACAAATAAGAGGTGTTGTTTCCTTGATTTTAGGATAATGAACATATAAGATCTACATACAAAAAATTCAAACGGGGGGGGGGGGGGGGGGGGCACGCCCGGCGCGCCTGTGATGGATCCGCCTTTGATTATAATCTACGCTAACGCACTTCAGTTTCATCCCAACGTAACTAGTCAGCCCGTGGGCTAACTAATAAATGCCCAAATAGTGGCATGTCTTAGATATTCGTTAATCTGTAGTATTTGGTTATGAAATTTGAGAAAGTCAACTGTACATCTTGTATAATGAAGTATCGCAACTATGTCGCTCCTTGATAACGGAAACGTTTAGCACCTCTCCTGCATATACGTTCCATAGATATTGATTGATTAGTCAGGCAAGCTTTTTGAAAAGCTATTACTTGTTTGGATTAGAGTTTTTGATAAATTTTCAATCGAACACACTTTGACCTTCCTCTTTAAGTTAAAGTTTCGCGGAAAAGACCGTAGTATGCCCCGATTGCTGGAATTCTGATTGTCATCTGAGAAAGAAAAAAATACAGAATAAGGTATGTGATGGCAAAAGATTGAAGATCGATGTCTGATTAATAACCCAGCCTCATTAGGGTCAACAACGTGTTCATCAAATATTGTTTGTAAAATCAAGTGCATTTATTACAGAAGCGTGATTTTTGAATCTCTTGAGAGATGATATTTAATTGCACAGTGTTAATTGTAAACAGAAAAGTCGTCAAGATAATTGCACCGATATCGATTAGGTATATAGCAGTTTTTCTGATTCATAAGTTTATAAATTACAGTACTGTCATAAAGGAAGGCGAGGCTAGTGCTTTTGTATGGTTTTTACGGATTTATTTCTCCTAAACGTCTGACCTAGAGATTCATATACATGTAGTATTACATGTACGTGCAGTTCTCATCCTTTGTCAAAGGAATATTTTAGATTTACATCTTTTTAAAAATTCTATTCCAAAGTCACGACAATGAGGCCATGACGTTACGATTCACGTCCACACACAATGTTCAACAAGGCGCATTACCCTTAGAATTATCAATCATAATTTGTAAAAATATCTGCAGTATGTGCATTTTGGACGGTAAACCATTATTTATTTGATCTTTGTTTCCTTTTTTTTAACCTTCAACGGATTCGATTTGAAGTTAAGGAAAATGCCATGTGCTCAGATTTTCGAACAATTAATTAGCTAGAGACGAATATCATTTTTGCATTTAATTTGTTAAAACAAAAAAAAAAAAAAAAAAACAAAAAAAAAAAAAAAAAAACAACCTATTAGACTTTTGCTTGTTTATTATTCTCAGACCATACAATGGTATATGAGGTACATGAACATATTAACATATACAAAATATACAAAGTAAGGAAGATTAGTATAAAATAAAAGAGTATTACTGAAAACATGCCAATATCTTTTTAACGAATTAAACAGGCAGTTTTATCATTAAGTCTACATCTGCAGTGGACATAAGATTCTCAAATTTATAAGTATTTACATGAGAAAAAATATTTCTTTTCAATAAGTTTCATACGTAATGAGGAAAAAAATGGACACTCCATGATATAATGGAATTCGTCACCTACGAATAGGTATGTTTATTACATAAATTACATATTTTCACAGATCTGTCAGTATTAGCCCATATCTATAAGCTTCGATTGAAAGTCTTTGGTGACAAATTCTAAATTTTGTTGATATAATTCTTAAATCTTTTGGGAGGTTACTTAGGTACATTTCTCGCCCAAAATCGTTCTTAGAATCTTATAATTTAAACATTTAGATGTATTTTCTATGCTTATAGACCAGTCTTGTGAAAATATCCAACTTCAACTCAGTACATTAAGGAAAATATGAATAACAATATTTACCTTCTGTGACTTTTCAATTTAAACTTCAAATATTTTGTGAAATTTCCTGAAACGAAATCAAATTTTTAAACAAAGCAAAAAAAAAAAATTTTTTTTCTTTTTATTTCATTTCTTACTTATAGCTACTGTAACTTTACAATTACATTTTCTATAAGAAAGATATTTTCAAAGTTCAAACATAAAACTTACTTTATCTGGCATCCATTAATGTGACATTGTCGTCAGTAATGTAATAGGAATCCAGATACTCCGGGAATTTTAAGGCCACCGACAGAGGATTCACTCCGTTGTCATCGATTTTACATAGATCCCTATAACACCTGACTTACACACTGGGGAGTAGGCCTACCTGTTGATTATTTATTAAACTTTTCAGAAAAATGAAGAAAAAAAAATATATCTGATACTGATAAATTAGAAGAAAAAATCGTACCAACTTTTTCCCGTATTCATTTTCTCATACACTTTCCCCTACATTAGTTACTTGTAAATTTTATATGTTCAACCTGTTTATTGAGGGGAAAGCTTCAATATATGACAATACCTTTCTCCGCCTGATATTACTTGGATGTTTGACTTATTAAGTGGTGTACCCCCATTGTGTGCCTGATTTCTTTAGCTTCTGGGCCGATTTAAATCCCTACATAAATTAATTCTGCAATAAAGCCCATGGACCGGCTTAAATATTCCGATACCTGTTGAATATTACTTTGTCAAATTTCCTACCTCACCTGGCGATATTACAGGTAAGTAATGCCGTTATATCCTAGCATGCATACATTAACATCAAAATGAATTTATGTGCATTAAGTCTGTGATTATCATGTAATGAAATATATTTTTGTTTGATTATAGTATTCAGAAGTCAGATATTCTTGTACCAAATACATCATGTACTTTTTTCGATATGCAATTTTTTTAGTCTTGAGTACTAGTATAAAGATTTTGAAATATTCGAACGAACACTTCAATGGAATACATGTCTATATGAATCAGAAACCTATAGAGTTATTCCTAAAAACAGTCTTTGAGGAGCTATGGATTATTTACACAGCTTTAAAATTAGAAGTTAGAAGTCTGCAGTTCGATCAATTAGTGTCTTGTAAGCTTACAATGGACGAGTGATTGTGACCAATTTGTCTACTGCTATCTCGGCACGCGATCGACCAACACGACCAACGAGAAAAACAACACAGTTTTCTTTACGTGCAGGGATTTAAAACATGTTTTAAGACACGATTTAATGCCATAGGCAGGGAATTAAATGAAAATCTGTCGATATTTCTGTCCTGTAGGTGACCATTTATTCCTTTGATGATCATTTAGCTTTGAATTGAACAAAGAGAGGACGAAACAAAAGAAAACGACAATGTAGACTATTGAGATGTAGGTGAGTACATGAACAATTATTTTCTATAGGTATTTGGTTCGTCTCTCTGTTAAAATGAAAACTAGTTTGTGTAATTCGATAGCAGATTTTAAGAATAATTATTTTCAATTAACCGAGGTTAAAAATCCTTTACGTAAAGATGATCAAGTAATTCATTCTTATGGCTAAGAAGTACCGCCTTCATATGTTATGGAAATATGCAGAACAGAATATTTCAAATGAATGTGATTGGCTGGTTTTGTTCTTCATTCAAAGAAGTAAACATTATAAATGAAGCAGCATTCAATAATTCTGATTATATTACAAAATGAAACAGACCCGTAGGAACGGGGGGTGTGTGTGTGGGGGGGGGGGGGTTAATAATAACGCCCGATGACCTTATTTTGGCTTGTCAAGAAATTTTTGTTAGGTTGTGCTCCCAGACTAACTCTGTTAGGTTGTGTCCCCTCCCCCATCCCAACTGAATTTGCTTCGTACGCTCTTGAGAAGTAACACATTTTGATTCAAATCGATACTTAACATAATCATGATAATGTTGATACTGACAATATAGTATTCCAAACCAGACTTAGAGAATTGATCTATAACTATTTAGTAATCAGTTTATCTTACGAAGTATTGGAAATCGTAGACTTTTTTCCTCCTCAGCCTGTGTTCAGAGAAATCATTAAGGATATTAAAAGACTCAGTGACCAGGATAATGGGATTCCCTCAGAATCTTCGATTATTGCAACCAAGAAACGAAATCAAAGAACATTATCTTTGTTTGATGTTACAAATTTGTTAATTAAACCTAGATCTTTCATCAAACTAAAAGAGTTTGTAGACTATCAAACATCTTAATTACATTTATCATCAAGCACGATAACATAATAAAAATTAAGCACGTTGAATCAGAATTGTAGCTTGACAACAGGAATCTTCTTGTATATCTTTTATATTTTTATTTTCCCGCCTGTCCCTCCCTGGGCCTTCTTAAACAGTTGGGGATGGGAGGAAAGACTCTAGGATTCACCGGTACCCCTGTTTGAGGTAACACCAGCACATGAATTGTTCATATCTTGTTATATACCTAGGCGGATATTGAACCAAAATATTTATCTTATGGAAGATTTTAAGCACACTATAACTGAATATACAGCTGAACAAATTCCTTCTGATTTCCGTCAATTCGAAAAAAGAATCTTTTTTTAATATGCTGTTGCTATATATAACAATAAAATAAATCAATATATGTGCAATATCGTAAAATTTGGTACGAAAAAATATTAAATTAATGAAAAAAGTTTGATTGTAATTCTTTTTTTTTTCGTATTCCAGAAATCTCTTTTGTTAAATACATGAAAAGTTTATTATTATTATATGTCTATTACTTATTTTTACTACAATGCTCATTTCATAATATTGTTTCATCACACTGCAAAGTAAGTGGAAACTATATTATTTTGTACGAAAACAGATGCTCCCTCAGTTCCCCAATAATATATCTAGTCAACATTATATTACCTTGTTAATGTATGACCTTAATGAAATGACCTTAATCTTTGAGATTTTTCATGAAGTAAGGTTCTGAAACGTTAAGGCGATCAGTATTAACGAATTTGATTTAATTCAAATCAAGGATTCCATTTTATTCCCTAAGATTTCAATATCTCATCACCCTTTGACCTACATCTTTGAAATATGACCTTACTGTAAGGTTAAGACACATTGTTAAATGATCATCAACAACATACTTAAGAAGTTTAAATTCGATTCCTAAATGACGATTCGTACACGATTGAAATACATGTATCTCATTGTCTATTGACCATGATATTTTAGATATGACCTTTGGTCAGTCAATTGGCAAACTTGTAGGTCATCGGTATCATTAAACTATTGTTTGAAACATTCGAGTCAAGACTTTTGGCCAGGAAACTATCACATAAAAATCAAAGCGTTGCCCAGTGATTCTTCACCTTAGTTCATGTGCGACCTTACACTAAGGTCACGACACGCATTACAATTTGGCAACGAAGTGCTCAAGTTCGAATCCCTTCCAATAAAAGGCTCTTTAATTATAGTCAGAATGCAGTTCTCTGACAGACAGGCAACTAAAAGACAACCCTGTGAAATGAAATATGGACACAACGAACAGTAATCAAGCTCAAAAATCCATTGAAACAATCCAAATCGGGAGCACAGCGAAGAAGGACCTCTAAAACATCAGAGGTGTGATTAGATGCCATGGAGGAGTAAGCATCCCCTGTCAACCGGTCACACCCACCATGTGCTCCTTGTCATTATCGGGAAAACGGAAAAATCCTTAGACAATTCAGTGTGTAAATAATGACCGAACAATTAGTAAAAAGTTAAAAATAAAAAAAGTCAGTCGGCATTCGCCTTAATGATAGACTGTATTTGCTGACAAGATCATTGTATCGACCATAGAACTTGCGAATTGATGACTTTAAATGAGACTCGTTATTGTTTTATCAACTTGTTTGTCAAAAGCTTGCCTCGTTTTAGAAGTTGGTCGTTCATAGAGCATATTCCTCCTTATCGAATCAACTGAGAGACTTAAACCGCCTATGCAGGTGATAAGGGTACCATTCTACATAAGTAAGGGAAGTTGACGATAGAAAAGCTGAAGTGATCACGTTTATCATAAAATTTTGTTGTAAGGGTACCGTTATCGTCCTTTTCTAGTAAAATATCCAAATATGAAACAGATATGTCAGACTCTGTGGTATCTTTCATTTCAAGCTCACTTGATATATCGGGTCGACAAATGAATGGAAGTAACTATAATAATTGTTAAGTGATAATACGTCGTCGATAGATCTAAATGTCCAGTTGAAGGCCAAAGTAAATATTTTCTTCATCTCAGGTATATTTTATCTGATATACTAAATATTCACGTTAACGTTTCATGTATTGGTGTTTATTCCTTGTATTTTTCAGTTTTATGCTGATGTAAAAGTTTCTTGTGACCAAAGAGGAAATCAGAACACCATGGCGCGTGTCCCTCATATCCTAATTGAGGACGAAGACTTACTTACACCACGAGAACAACAGGAGGAACAAAAGTGGAGCGAGTTCTTCCAGAAAAAGAAAACAGAAATACAAAGGAGAGATTTATCATCCAGAGAGCGAAGGTAAAATATACCGGGTATCTCTCTTTCAGTACTCTTCAATAGGTAAATTATTGAAATTCACAATTTATTTTTTGTACACCATATCTAAAGGTAGGCCTCTATCATCATAGTCCTGTATACAGTGTGTTACTACAGCAGCCAAGTAAAACGTGTTTATAAATACATATTGTTTGGAAACTTTCATCAAAAATAAACAGAAATATTTTGCAAATGTGTATTTTTCCTATTGGGTTAGAAAATGTAAAGTAAACTGAAAACTTCAGGTTAATTGTTAGACGAAGTACGTTTTGTTCTTTTGTGAAAAAAAATAACGACTTACGTTGTCAATTTTATAAAGACTGACAAAGCAAATACACTTGATATTTGACAAAAAAAAAGCATTTCATATACCTTCTTCTTCATCCAATTGCAATTTTCAAAGTTAAAAAATATGAAGTAGGGAACATAATGTTGAAATTCAATTCCGGACACAAAATTTTGTGCTTTGTCAACTTCTGTCGTATATAAATTATAAGTATTAGACATTTTAATTAAAATCTATTTACCGTTACTTTAGATCTAAATCCGCCAGAAAAATGAAAGAACTCAACCAAAGATGGCGGAATCTGGAGTCAAGAAGAATTGAGAGATCAAACACAGAATTAGAGCGTCTGAGATCTACCTTATCTGCTGCTCAGCTGTCTAATGGCGGACAATCAACGGACGATAATTCCTAGCATCCTCATACGTTTATTTGAGATTCTTTGTTATATTTTACATGCAACGAAACCAAATACTGAGATTTCAATATACACTTTATGGTATTTATATATACGTGACTCTTAAATCATTTGATTTGTTTCAGACTGCATTCATTTACCTTTCATCATATCATTAATAATTCTTCAGCTATTCCTCTTGAAGTGCTTCCAAAGATTCATGAAGGTGGTATTAAATTTCATAGGGAAACATATAAGTAAATTTAATTTTGTAAGATACTTGATTGTGTTCCATGATACTCTTCTTTACAGGTGATGCAATATTTCATATCAAAGTAATATGGTGTTATAATTATCCTCTTTTCTGGAAGATGGAATTGAGAGTTGAAGTGTTTTACAGTCTCTGGACTACTCTTTCTCTCTTTATGATTTGTAATAAATGCTTGAAATGAAAATTTTCGTTTATTTCATTTCTTTAAATATTGTAAATGCAAATGCGATAATTTGCTGGTGAACTAATTTACACACGATTTGATAATTTTACAATCAATTAGATTGACATCTGAAATTTGAGTGGTCTTTGGCATCCCTCAATTCAACATCTTGCTCAGCCTCGGTCAATATTGAATATTTTTCTGGTGAATATCAAACCATATTCACCACCAAAAGAGTCTATAACTGAATAATGTCGAGTTGAAGGTCACAGAAAGAGACTTCTTTATGTAGAAGTTTTTGGCTTTTGAATAAATACTGTTTCATATATGAATAAATGTACAAAATTAGGTTTGGTTATAACTGGACGCTACTAGTACCCATGGGAATTCCGACAGATTGTTGGAAGACTTGATCTCCGAAAGACTACACAGATACTCGAGCATCTTTTTAATATCAACTTCGGAGTGCTTGTGTGTACAATCAGAATGTTTTTAACAAAATAATTTTATAGATGATCAATGACAAGGTAAGTAAATTTACGAGTTCCATTTTAATTGAAAAAAGCAGCTGTCAATGATATCAAAAAGCCTGGATTTTTATTTATCGTGGGGAATGGTTATGTATAAAGTTGAAAAGTCGTAAGTTTTTAAGCTGTTGACTTTGGTAAAAATCTTGTGATTTCAAATTTTCCAAAAGTTCCTTGGAATTTTGAAGTATCCACATCTGATTTACACCACTTCATTCTGTAAAGTATCCAAATACAAATGAAAAAGATGAAGATAACCAACAGTGATCGATCTAAAAAATAAATCTACAAATATGTTTACAGCGCATAAAAACATGAACCCCCGAAAATTCCAGAGGTTGGATCAGGTGGTTGAAGGAGTAAGCATCTCCTGTTGACTGGTCACACCCGCTGTGTGAGCCCTATGTATTGATCAGGAAGAGGGAATATTCGGTATTATAAATATGGAAAATACAAACTAAGGTCCTACAATTGGTATGAAACACGTAAACCAAAATACAAATTTACAAGTTCCATTTTTATTGAAAAAAGCAGCTGTCTATGCTGTCAAAAGTCCTGTACTTTAATTTATTATCAGGAATGGTTTTATAAATTGTTGAAAAGTCGTACGTTTTGGTGTTATTGATTTTGGTATTCTTGTGATTTCAAATTTTCTTAAAGTTCCTTGAAGTTTTTCAGTATTCACATCTAATTTACACCACTTATCAAATACACTGGGACCACGATTTTTAAGGTCTCATCCGAAAGACCTGTGACCTCCATTTCTAGTGCCAGGCGCTTGGCGAAGGGACAGACACTATCTATGTTTACGTCAAAGGTTTGATGCGGCGCGAGGAACAAGAATCGAACCCGGACCTCCCGATCACGAATCCCTACCACTAGGCTACCAAAATGTCTATTTGAAGGCAACAGCGAAAGACCACTTATTTTCTCTTAAAAAAAAATTGTCTGTTTTTTAACGTCCCTTCGAAAATTTTTCACTCATGTTGGAACGCCATCACTTGCCGTTGGAAGGGGGGGGGGGAGTGCAAATTTAGACCCTAGAGGGACCTTTCTCGTGCCACACCTAGCTACTGTGATACAGGAACTCGGTTTATAGGTCTCATCCGAAGGACCGGTCTCCAGTTCGCGCAGTGGGATTCGACAAGCAAAGTAAGGGTCATCTACTTACTTCCCGACTCTAGAGCAAGCGCTCTAACCACAGAGCCATGCGGGTGACTTTTTTCTCTTGAAAGTTTTAGAATAATTTCACAAGGATACAAAAAGAGTATGCTAAAGGGGCGCAATAAGGACCCACTGGCATTCTGATCGATTGTTGGAAGATCTGGTCTCCAAAGACTTCATGAATATTGTCAATGAGGGAACTCAGGCATCATTTGGAAATTAACTTTAATTTGTGAGTCTTGTGTCTAGAATTAAAATAAATTTAAACAAAGTAAGTTTTTATATGACCAATCACAAGATATGAAAACTTCCCAGTTCCATTAAAAAAAAAAAAAAAAATCATTTGCCTATGAAATCAAAAAGTCCAGGTCTATAATTTATCGCAGGTAATGGTTGTATGAGATTTTAAATGTCTTACGTTTAAATGAGATTGATTAAGGAAAAAAATAATTTCATATTTTCAAACTTCCTTTCGCGTTTCTTAGTTCCCCATTTGATATACACCACTTATTGAATTAATTGCAATAAAGTGCTGCTGAAGTTTCTCCTTTTCTGTTGTTAATATTTTAGAGGAGTAAGCAGAGGGTTTGTAAAACATTCATAGGTTCCTCATTGATAACAAACATGTAGTCATTGGAGACCACATCTTCCGACAATGTGCTTGAATTATAGTGGTCACTACGAGGGGTTATCAAAAAGTTCGTGGACTAGCGTGATAAAATTAAAACCGCTTTAGGTACATCAATGAATTTTTACACATTTAGTTAGCATCATCCTTTCTATCTATAGAATAAACCATAAATCATAATTTTTATTTTTTTAATAAAATGTTAGTGTTTTTGTAAGCAAAGGTATGCCCAGGCGGCGCAACCTCTAATATGACGTTTTTTCCTACCTGAGTGTAACTGAGAAAAACTCTTTAGATATGAGTATTTGTCATCAGAAAATCTCGTTAATTCAGGCATGTGGTATGACACATTTGTTCAGTAAAATTTGGAATTTTTACCCCATTCTGTAATTTCTATGAAATTTTATCGTAAATTTTATATGGAGTGTCCAAACAATTATGGGCTTGAAAATAACGTCAAAAGGGGGGAGGGGTTTCTTTTTCAAACACTCTATAGAGTTTCGGTCCTGGAAAAACTGGTATTGACCTAAGGAATGTTTAAACTGGCTACAGAACAATAAAATGCATCCAGAGTACTTGTTTTTTAATGCCTAAAAAGATTCAGAGAGATGAAATATGCACAGCTAGTGTCGATTTGTAATCAGGGTGTCAAAAGTCAGTCACGTCGAAAAGTGACGTTGATCATGTGTGGTAGAAATTGAACTCCAACAAGCTAAGTATTCTGGCATAATCAAGTGAGGATCTTTCCCCATATAAAGATCCATTTACAATATTATATGCATTGAAAACAGCTGCTCATGACATTGTAAATTCATATAAATAAGACGGGTTTAAGTCCTAACTTAACTCCAGGTAATCTCATCAAGATAAGTGTATGAGGTAGAGAGAGCGGACATTAAGAAACAATGACGTTAAGCGGACGTCATGACACTAAACGGCGACAGCGCCGGGTGATCACATAAAGTCTTTTTAATTTTAGAATAATTTGGCAAATTATCAACTTATCAAGCTAAAATTTTCAACATTTCTTAAACTTTTGTTGTTTTATGTTCCGCATAAATTTTGTAAGCAAAGACTACATATTATTAATTTTATCGCGTCAGTCCACGAACTTTTTGATAACCCCTCGCAATCTCAGAAACCTTTATACAATACAAATCTGTGAACAGGGCCCCCGGAAATTCCAGAGGTAGGGATCGATTGCCCAGGAGGAGTAAGCATCCTCTGTTAACCGGTCAAATTCAGTATAAAAACAAAGGGCTAACAATATGTGTGAAACACAACAGCCTATGTACGACCCAATAATAGGTCATATTCATGGGAATTGATGAAGAAAAGATAAGTTGTCTCTACATACAGTCCCTGAAACGTTCTACTTTCCCACTTGAACGGTGAGCGAACGCTGAACGAACGGTGAACGAACGCTGAACGAACGCAGAGCGAACGGTGAGTGAACGATGTGTGAACGCTGAACGCAACTTGGTGAACGATGTGTGAACGGTGAACGGTGAGCGAACGCAGAACGCGAACGGAGCGCAAACGCGAACGCAAAGTGAACGGTGAACGAACGGTGAACGCAAGATGAACGATATATTCGGAATGCCTCTGATCTTTTCCTTGCATTGAAACTATTTTATTGTATTATAATGTCAGGTGCCAAAAAAAAAAATAAATAAATAAAATAAGTAAACCAATAAATGAATGAATAAATAAGTAAATAAAATAAATTCGAATTCTCCAAAATTGTCCTAAGAAAGACGATTCATGCACATAAGTTTTTAATCACACGATTTTTAACGCATTAAAACATTGCAATTGTTGCCGAACGCTAAAGTATAAAAGATATTTTTTTAGTTGGAAAATAAAAATGTTTATTCTTATTTGATAACAAATCAGAGAAAACTTCTGACTTATAGAATGAATTAAAGCGATTGTAACATCTATTCATATATGTATCTCCGTGTCAAGGCGATTTCATGTAAAGTAATAAAAAAATTAATTACAAAGGTCAGTGGACGTTTTGCATTTATACGCTCGTATTTTAAATTTTTAATACAATAATATATTATGTGTCATTTCTATTTTTTATGATGATTTATTTAGCAGACTTCAATTTTCCGAACTTGATATTTAAGTAATATGCTGTTATAATTTTTATCAGACAAATGAGAGAGAGAGAGAGAGAGAGAGAGAGAGAGAGAGAGAGAGAGAGAGAGAGAGATTCCGTTTTAGCCCCCCCCTTCCTTTCAGGCTTCACTAAATGTTTGCACCTATATCAAACAATAACTCTGATATTTTTTTCTAAATATATTAGACAGTGAAAGTAACTTTTTTTTTTATCAACAAATCATATCCATCTGTTTGACAGTATTACTCGTTTTTATTTTCCTGCTTCAAGTTCACACGAAGTCCACGTGCTTGTCCTGTCAATCAAAATCATTCGACACTGTGCAGGTGTGAAAGTTTCGTCACATCGAAGACGAAGTGCGAGTATTTCCAACAAGTTATAACATTTATTTTTATAATTTCTAGATTTGATACCAACATTTGAATAATTAGTGAATAAAATATATTGGGCATTAACACTTGAATTTGAAACATACTCTCTGCCAATTTCAAATACCACCGCCAACACGTGTACATTTTGAATTTTAGATGCATGTTTGTTTTGAGACTG